GTGTTCGGCGACGATTATGAAGTTTTCCGTTGCGATAGGAATGCTGCTAATAGTCACAAAGTTGAAGGTGGAGGTGTTTTAGTGGCTATAAATTCTAGGTTAAAAGCAAGGTTACTGATAATATTGCTTGGACATGCTTAGAGCAGGTGTGGACGTCGATTAAACTGGGCGATCGTACCTTGTTTCTCTGTGCGGTTAACTTTCCTCCCGACCGTATACGGGAGCGTGACCTCATCGAAACCCATTGCCAATCGGTTTTCTCTGTTCTGGATAGCGCCAAAGCAACCGATGAAGTTATTGTGTTTGGTGACTTCAATCTCCCGGGGATTTCATGGAAAAAAAACTCGCAACGGCTTCCTCTATCCTGACATGGATCACTTTTGTCATCCATTCCTACGCTTCGCTCCTTCTGGACAATTACAGCTCAGCCACTCTTTCTCAAATCAACCATGTTATTAACCAGAACAACCGCGGTTTTGATCTTTGTTTTGAAAGCGCCCAGGACATGGCTCCTTTCTTATGTGAGGCACCCACTACTCTGGTGAGACTGGATCATCACCACCCGCCGCTACTGGTGACGTTAAGTACTAAGCTGATGCATGATTTTAATATTTCACCTGCCCCGTTTCCTACGATTTTCGCAACGCCGACCATGGTAGTATCGCCGAGTTACTCTCCAATTTAGATTGGGACGACTTATTGGACACCGTTGACATTGAGTCCACCGCTCAAACTATTTCCAATGTCTTGGCATATATCATTGACAGACACCTTCCGAAAAAGATTCATCATCATACAACCCATCCACCATGGCATACGAGCGAATTTCGTCGACTGAAATCCAGAAAGAGAGCCGCTCTTAGGAAGTTCAGCAAGCACCGCACACTATCCCTTCAACGTCACTATGTCAGGATCAATCACGCATACAAACGAGTTGCGAAACGGTGCTTTCTTCAGTATCGACGTGGATTGCAAAGAAAGCTTAAGTCACGTCCCAAGCAGTTTTGGAAGTTTGTCAACGAACAACGTCATGAAGCTGGTCCGCCGTCGTCTATGACACATAATGGTAACGTGGCCTCATCTACGCAAGATATCTGTCCGCTGTTCTCTGAAAAATTCGCTAGTGTCTTCACGGACGAGAGACTGAGCGACGACCATGCCCGACTGGCTGCCAGTTACGTACCACTCTCTGGCCAAACCTTGAGCAGAATTGACATAAATCCCGAGATGTTTTTCAGGGCTTCCTCGAAACTCAAGTCGTCGTACAATCCGGGTCCTGATGGAATTCCATCGGCGTTCCTCAAAACGCACTTGGAAAGTTTGTTGTCTCCACTGCTGCACGTTTTTCAACGGTCTGTGGACGTCGGTGTTTTCCCATCCTGTTGGAAGCTAGCGCACATGTTTCCAGTACATAAAAAAGGCAACAAACAGGACGTTGGCAACTACCGTGGCATTACTTCGCTTAGCGCTGTTGCTAAATTGTTCGAACTCGTTGTTATGGAACCGTTACTCGCTCACTGTAAGCCGTATATTAGCATCGACCAGCATGGTTTCATGGCTGGTCGCTCCACTGCCACTAACTTGTTGTGCCTTACTTACTACATCTCTAACAGTATGTCGGATCGTGCTCAGACGAATGTCATTTATACTGACTTATCTGCTGCCTTCGATAAATTGAATCACCGCATATCAATCGCTAAACTGGACAGGCTTGGTATCCACAGCTGCCTTTTGCAATGGTTTCAGTCGTACCTCACCGATCGCTATCTTACTGTTTTCATTGGTTATCACCAGTCCCGTACGTTCGCTGCCACATCCGGCATACCCCAGGGTAGTCACCTGGGACCGCTGATTTTCCTGATTTATTTCAACGACGTGAATCTGGTAATTGAGGGACCGCGATTATCTTACGCAGATGACCTTAAACTCTACCTCCGAATTCACTCAATTGAAGACTGTTTCTTCCTTCAACGTCAGCTGAATGCTTTTGCTGATTGGTGTATTCTGAATCGTATGGAGGTTATCTCTTTTTCGCGCAAGAGAGAGACTATTATGTTCAAGTATGTTTTGTTGGGCACTGAAATTGAGCGCGTCAGCCAAATTAAGGACCTAGGCGTGATTCTGGATACAAAACTCTCTTTCAAGCAGCACATTTCGCACGCCGTCGACAAAGCTTCCAGAATTCTAGGGTTTATCTTCAGCCAAAGACTTCACGGATATCTACTGTCTTAAATCGTTGTACTTCTCCTTGTCTCGCTCCATATTAGAATACTGCTCGGTTGTCTGGACTCCTCACTACAACAACGGTGTCGAAAGAGTTGAGTCTGTTCAGCGACGGTTCCTGAGATATGCGCTACGTAAACTGCCGTGGACGGATCCCTTCCGATTGCCTAGCTATGAAAGTCGTTTGCAACTGATCCATCTGGAGCGCCTGTCGGTCCGAAGAGATACAGCAAGGGCATTGCTAATTGCGGATATTTTGCAAGGACGCACCGATTGCCCTGTCCTCCTTGAGCAAATTGACATCAATGTTCAACCCCGAGCCCTACGGAATAATTCAATGCTGCGCCTGCCCATACAGCGAACTAATTATAGCATGTTCGGTGCAATCGGTGGTTTACAGAGACTCTTCAATAGGGTCTCTGCACTGTTTGATTTTGACCTGACTCGCCAGCTGCTTCGCCGGAGGTTTAGTTCTTTTTTTTTCTAGATCAGTTTAGTTTGTTTAGTAATGTTCCTTTTTTTACGAGATGACTATCTATGTACTTATTGATGTTTTGTTTTAGTACTTTTCATGTTTAGTTTAAGTTACATCATTGGGGCAAATAACGCCTGTTGATGTTCAGTCATAAATAAATAAATAAATAAATGAAAGGTCTTCAAATACCAATCCGACAATTTTTTGTAGGTGCTGTTTTCTAACAACTGAAAAGTCAAATTTTGCTATTATGGTATTTGTTTAATGTTTTACAAAATAATTCGATTTCTGAATAATATCATAACAATGTTTTATTCCACAAGCATAACAAAATAAGATATCATACCACATTATGATATTCATATGTTATCGGCTCTTGCTCGGGAAACCGGAATTATTTTCAACATTCAGGATATTCTCTACAGAAAAGATGGTTTCAATAAAATTCCTAATTACCACCAATTGTCCTCGAATCGGGAAAAAATACCCTTAGTCTGCGGGAGGAGTATCAAATTGCATGATCAAACCGTTCACCGTGCCCGGGATTACAATTTACTGTTGCAACAAAGGCCATGCATCGACAGTTTTGGCGCCTCGTCCGTCCAAACCGTTATCCGTTACGCACCACCGCTTCTGACCAATCGCATTTCCGGCTTTTTCAAAGCCCAGCCCATAATCCTGCCCGAGCGTGTGTGAGTGTCCCAGTAAAATCTCAATTGCCGCCAATAAAAATGGATTCACAATTAAAGAAGATTTTTCTTGCCTTTGTTTGCGGGGCGAAAATTTAGAATACATCGCATTCTACGGGATTTTGATAAATGACCAGGAATTAAATCGATTTTCGCTTGCCGAAAAACTCTTTTGTCCAGTGCTTTGGGAAAAAAGATCCTCGACCAATTTTGAACCAACGAGGGAACGAAACTGTCATCGAAGTGTTATTTATACCAATATATTTTGCATCCCGGCTATTGTTTTCCTCCTGACCGAACACGGTGAACTGCGACCCGGGAAGCGTCCTGTAGGTCAACATTTCCATTTTCCCCTCCGATCATTGCGGCTTTGGTCATTGCCGTCTTGCCCCGAGAGCGGTGAGGGGTTGTGACCCCTAGGGGTGAGAATATTTTTAAGGACAACCTTTTGTCAACGCAAATGCTGCTTCTTCTTCATCATCTTCGTTCGTCGCTCGCTTTAAAATCAATCAACGGTCAGCGCCGAGTTTTGTTATTGCACAAACTGACCCTTTTCGATATGGTTTCGATTTGTGTGCGCGCTCACACATAGTGTCGTAATTACAACGAATTCAGGGTAATCTTTTTTCCTCCGGGTAAAAATCGTCTTGAAATTCGGGAGGGGTCAAATGACGACAACGGGCAGTGTGAAAAGCTGTCAATTAAAATTTATTGCAACTCGCATTCGAGAGCGAATAATCGCTTGACCCTAGCGCAGCGAGCAACAACAAAGGAAATAAATGGACAATTTAAATAAATTTTGCAATTTGGTCCGAAAAGGTCAGCTTCGGGGATTCTGGCGCGAAGAGGTCCAGCTGTGGGAAAATAGAACTAACGGTCAGATAGCTCTGACGCTGTGCAACGGTAATTGTGTTGCTTCATGCACTTCTGATAAATTTTATGTGAGGCCAACGATCTTTCCCGTAAACCGTGTGTAGTTGCTTTTATTTTAATTTAAATGTTCTAGCCAATTAATTTCCAATCAGCACATAAAAATATAATGATCCCAGGAAAACCGTTGAACGTCTCACCTTCCTAATAACCCTCCACTAAAAAAGGCAAAGTGTCCAATTACCCAACAAGCGAACATTATTGATACAACTTTTTTTTTATTGCCTCCCCGAGTGACGTAGAGTTATTAGCGCAGTTACAATTGTTCGCACCGAAACAACCTGCTAGCATTGGGCAGCGAGTTAAGTGATTGATTTACTGTTTAGGTGCAACTGTCTCAGTCTGAACGCCGCCGTGTCGTTAATCGCGTGTCACGCACTCTGAGAGCTAAGGCGACGACCAGCACAAAATTCCTTGCGTAATGTTGTGCATTCCCCGCATCGATCAGCCAACACATGAACCTTACTCTGACCGGTCGATTCCCCAGTGGCACTCGTGCCAGTACTGCCAAGGGTCAATGTCAATGTCCAGAGCGCTCTCTGTTTGTTTAATTCCATTAGAATCTGGATCAGGTCCGATCGAATGATCAGTCTCAATTCAACTTCCGATTCATTCGCGTGTTTGCGTGTCCGTCTAGAATGGTGATTCTCAGAGTTCTACGGTGTTTCTTCAGTCGCTTTCGGATGCTTACCGAGGAGTACTTTTCCAGTTCGTCCATTCACGGGATGCAGTATCTGGCCCCGAGCAAACGATCCCCGGTAGAGAAAGTACTCTGGATCGTCATTTTTATCGGGTCGATATCGGCCTGCACTATCCTGTCACGGGAAATCTATCGCAAGTGGCAGCAGACTCCGGTCATCATCGCCATTAACGAAAGGATGACACCGATATGGGAGATTCCTTTCCCTGCGATTACAATCTGTCCGGAGGTGCACAACTACACGGCTAGTGAGTTTCGAGTAAATTGCGTCTACTACGCTTACCCGTACAAGGAGTGCGAAGTGACAACGACTTTGGTCGGTGAAATGCCTTGTGCCACGTTCAATGTCCTCTCGGCGGGGCAGATGTTTCATCCGGAACTGCTCGTCAATGCCTCGAACTACCAATACCTTCGTGACATAACGGAAGTTTCCTCCTGGAACCTGGCACTCGGATACAACAACAGCAACCACATTCCATCCTATCCGGTTCGTGCCTTCAGAATAGGAACCTTGCACGGTGTTTCTGTTGTCATTCAGCAACGTTCGATTCCGGAAGTCAATCGCCATCGACCGAATACCACAGCGTCGTTTCAAATCATCCTGCACCTACCGAACGAGTACCCACAGAGTGCCAACGCGTACTACGAGATCCCTGCCAACCAGGATGGAGAGCTACACATCACACCTCACATGACGACCACTTCGGACGAGTTGGAAGATTATCTCCCGATTAAACGCCAATGCTACTACCACGGCGAACGCAGGCTGAAGTATTTTCAGCACTACACCGCGGCCAACTGTGAACTGGAATCGATGGACGATTATATTACCCGATACTGCGGGTGTGCCATGTTGGCCGTCCCCGGCCGAGAGAACATCACCGCGTGCAGCGTTGGAAAGGAAGATTCCTACTGCTGGATGGAAGAACAGGAAGATCTACAGTACAGTATGTCGTTCGATCGCATTCACCTGTACCCCAAACCTGAGGACGACTGCCTGCCAGCGTGTACGGCTATTTCCTACGACGCGGACGTCACTGTTTTCCCGACCAAACGATTTCAGCGACTGGAGAATAGGTTGGTTCGAAGTTTGACGAGCAGGTCGTGCAAAACAAAAATTAACATATCTGGTGGAATTATTTTACAGCATTACCACGACCAATTTGTGGCTCGGCTTTCGGACGCCGCAGTTTGTGGCGTGGAAGCGGCGGGAGCTGTTCAGCGAAACCGAACTGATTGCCAGCATTGGCGGCCTTGTGGGGCTTTTCATCGGAGCGAGCTTGCTGAGCGCCGTAGAGCTGCTTTACTTTATCACCATACGACTGGTGATGGTTTCAACGACGACAACGACGACAACGACGACGGCGACTTCCATCAACAGCAGTGATAATGGTTGTGAAGAAAAACTACCGGGGGGAATAGTGGTGAAATTGACTTGAATGAAAACGGTGCAAGATGAATTGTGCCTCCGAGCATTAAATATTTTGGCAATCGAAATTGCTGAAACGTTTGAAATCAATATTTATAACTGTTTTCAAATGGATACTTACATTCAGGATTTATTAAATGGATACTTACATTCAGGATTATCATTTTCAATCAAAACGACGTCTGAGACAAAGTTGTAGAAAAAATTATTCCTTTAAAGGAAAATTACATACAGTAAAAGAATATAGCAACACCAACCCAATCATAGAACAACAACTTTCGACCTTTTTTTGAAATTTTTGTTTGTTCAATTTTGCACTGAAAATTTATTTTTTTTGATGGTTGGAAATAAATACTGTTGAGCAATTCCAGACTTATTCGCAATGCCATTAATTTTCGTATTTCTAATTCTCTACAAACCATGAAAACCATAAAAAAATAATTACAATCAAAGTTTTTCAATACAAATTCCCAACCTTTTAATATCATTACATTTTTTAAAAAAAATATTTTTAATTACATTTCATTTGATATTGACCTTTAAAATCGGCTAGTGGTTCAAAAGTTACGAATTTTTGAAAAAAAAACTACAAGGGACAGCCCTATGGGGTTGTCCGCAATGATGACGATGGACTACGTGGTCTTATATACACGGCGAATGAGAACGACCCAAATTTGAGTTTAGTTCACTCATAATCGCCGCCAAATGTGCAGGAACTCAGCGATGATTAAAATTTGTCTCATGATTTCCTGTGGAAAACCTAAAAAATCTGCCGGAGAATGAGGAAATTGACGAAAATTTTATTCAGTTTCGGAGTAGTACCAATAGACTGAGTGGATCCAATCTATACTTTTCTCAAATTCGGGAATTTTTCCCTGGAAAATCCTGAAAAAAACCTGGGAAAACATGCGGCAAATTTACTCATCACTGAGTTCCTGCACTTTTGGCAATTACGAGTGAACTAAACTCAAATTTGGGTCGTTCTCATTTGCCGTGTAATGAATGTTATTTGTTAACTGCAGCAGAAGCTTGTGTTTTGTGTAGGAATAGGAATTTGAGCGGGGTTCTCTCTGTTTATACTCTTTAGTATGACTGTGATTGCCTTGAAAAGAACCTTGATCCTGTTTCACGTCATGATTCTTCTCTATGCCTGTTCAGATAAATTATTACTTTTATTCATTTTCTCTACTGCGCTAAATCAAACTAATAAAAAAAGGAATGTCGGTTACGCGCTGAAAATTCGATAAATCTCGCGTCACTTTTCAAATAGACCAATGTAACAAATCCACCATTTTGAGAAAATCGAAGTTGAAGTTCGACAGATTATTATTTTAACTGTTTAAAAACAATACTATTTTTAATGTAGTCAGTGAATAATAACGTTGAAAATTCATAAGAAACGGTAAAATTAAAATTTTACTTTGAATTTCATGCTACAACATAGAAAAAACCACATAGGACGTTTTGACAAGTCGAGTTGTACATCGGACATGTTACATTGGACGATTTTTCTCAATGACATAATCAATGAGTGTTACATTGGACGTTTTGTCTTCATGATACTAGATTCCCTTTCACAGATTTCAAAGTATAGTACCTAACTATAGATTGGCCCCGCCTTTGGAAAATGAGCACCAATCATGTTAGGCAGTCCGAATGACCGAAGTAACAATCATGTACCCATCATTTCAAACTGTACATTGGACAATTTTTCATCAATGATTACCGTAAATAAATGAAAGTAAATTTGGATGGATGTTTTTGTATCACATACAATGATAGAAGAGCAATAGTTTGTATCGCTTAGCTCGATTTGTTTACATTTGTTACTTAGGACCATTTGAAAAGTGACGCGAGAAATATTTAATCGAATAGCTGGAAAAATCTATACGATTAATCGTTAATCGAATAATTAGACTTTTAGGCATCCCTAGGAACAAGGAAAGCATTGTCTGGTTACTTAAAATGTATAAGTCCAAAATTTTACGCTTAGCTTTTGGGCGTCAAGCGTCTTCGGTCAGCAAAAAAGGCAGAGAATTTTCGGCGAAGCATATTCCGTGTCAAGTGGAAATCGAACATCGACGTTACACTCGCTGCAAGTCGTAAATAGCGCTCCCTAAGCTATAATTAGTTTGAAGAAGTGGAAGTCTTAGCATAAGACTGTTGCGTAGTGATCGAGGTTGAACATTAATTGCACAATTGATTCGCAGTCGATTCATCCTTGTAGAGTATCGGCGACGGTCAAGGCTCTGAAAACATCTCTTGGGATACGTAAGGGCTCGACATTGATCAATTGGCAGCGATTCTCGTAGCTTGGAAGACTAAGTGGGTATCTTCAAGGCAGCTTATGGAGCGCAAAGCGAAGAAAACGACGTTGCACAGATTCAATTCGCTCGTTCTGGCTCCAGACTGCAAAGTAGTATTCTAACGTAGATCGTACGAGAGAGCAATAGAGCGATTTCAAGCAGTAAATGTCTGTGAAGTTCTTAGTAATCTTGAAGACAAAGCCAAGAGTTTTGGACGATTTGTCAACGACATACGATATATGGTGTGAGTTTGTCAGCTTTGAGTCCAAAAAACGCCTAAGTCTTTCACGCAATGCACCCGTTCGATAGTCGTGCCTAGTAGTGCCTTTGTAGTTGAAAATAATCGGTTGGTTCTTGCGTGAGAAAGTAATGATTGTACACTTAGCTGGGTTGACCACCAGTCGGTTTAGAATACACCAGTCAGCAAAGATGTCAATCTGATTTTGGAGAGAACGGCAGTCGGCGAGTGTAGTTAGCGCTCAACTTCCGAGCCGATCAGTCGATGTTTTCGGACAAGCAGATTTTGGAAGTCGTTCACAGACTATTTTGTACGTTTTTGTCGGTTATTTTCCACCGTCGTACCAAGTATCGCGTTCGCCTCTGCCGCGACGTCACATCTCGCGATGCCGCGCCGCGAAAATACGTTTCGCGTCGACTTTTCGCAGTTTCCGAAGCATCTTTCCCATGACGAGATCCACAAGTTCGTCGCGAAAGAACTTGGTCTAACGCGCGAAAATGTGCTTCAACTTCAGCCAAGCAGGCGGCTTGGATGTACCTTCGTGAAGGTTAACAACCTCGAACTTGCCGAGAAGATCGTGGAGCAACACGATGGTAAGCACGAGTTCGTGTTTGACGGAAAGTCCTACAAGCTACGAATTACGATGGAGGATGGAGCGGTGGAGGTGAAGTTTTTTGAGCTACCCGAAGGCGTCTCCAACGAAGAAATCGCAGTTTTCCTCGCCGAATACGGTGATGTCATCTACGTTCGTGACTTACTATGGGATAACCGTTACAATGACTTCGGTGGTGTTAAAACCGGTGTTCGTGTCGCGCGTGTAGTGGTAACGAAGAACATTCCTTCTCTCGTTACGATTCAAGGCGAGGAAACTGCGGTGGCTTACAAGGGGCAGCGGCAAACCTGTTTGCACTGCCATGAATTTGCACACATTGGCATCCCATGTGTACAAAACAAAAAACTGCTGGTGCAGAAGCTTGTAGCAGATCAATCGTACGCGAATGTTACGAAAAGCAAACCCCACACGCATCAATATATTGACGCGAAGGGGAATTATTGACAATAATATTGATCATGTAAATTCAGAAATATTGTCAATCTCGATGTATTGACGTCAATATAGAATGTATTGACAATACGATTATTGTCAATAAAAGCAATCGTGTAGGGTCCACTAAAGGGAAAGCAAACAATCCCGCACCAATCAAAACTCCATCAAACAAATCTCGGGTAGATCCACGAAAAACATCATCGGGTTTGAATACAGCACACAGTTCGTTTGTGACCAGAAAACCAGGTACTTCGGGACTGGCCCCAAATCTCCTTAAAGCAAGCGAGACACGACCTGCAACAACACAACCGAAAACCACGATGCCGCCTCCCGCTGCACCTGCTACAACAAAACCCTCCGCAATGCAAGCTGTCATCCAACTCACGCCGGCTTCTATCCCGATCGGCACCATCCTATCCCATCGCAAGACTGATGGCAACGAAACGGACAGCTCACAAGCTTCACAAGCCTCGAACAGCAGCCGACGTTTGCGTAGACAACCACCAGGCAAGAAAATGCGACACTCCGGAGAAGACACCACCACCACCACCACCGAACACGAACACGTCCAAATTACCGCTGAAGATATGCAACAATGATGGAGTACGTCAGCTGCAATATCGGAACCATCAACATCAACACAATCACCAACCAAACCAAGCTAAACGCCCTTCGCACGTTCGTTCGCACGATGGAGCTCGACATCGTGTTCCTACAGGAGGTGGAAAACGAACAGCTTACCTTGCCCGGCTACAACGTTGTCTGCAACGTCGACCATGCAAGGAGAGGAACGGCAATTGCGCTTAAACAACACATCAAATTTTCCCACGTAGAGAAGAGTCTGGACGGGAGATTACTCGCACTGCGTATACACAATACTACGCTGTGCAATGTGTATGCCCCGTCGGGATCCGTCTATCGCGCCGAACGAGAACGGTTTTTCAATAACATCATCGCATACTACCTTCGTCATTGCACCGACCACGGTGGTGACTTCAATTGTGTGATTCGACAATGTGATGCGACGGGGCACAATTCGAGCCCTGCTCTACAAGCCACCGTTCAGCAGCTTCATCTATACGACGTGTGGCAACAGCTTCGGCCACGCGAAACAGAATACACCTACATCACGCACAACTCCTCGTCCAGGCTCGATCGGCTCTATGTAAGCGCCGGTCTCCGAGAACAGCTGAGATCAACAGCTGTCCATGTGTGCTGTTTCTCGGATCACAAAGCCGTCACCGTGAGAATCTGCCTTCCTCTTCCCGAGAGAGCACATGGTCGTGGTTTCTGGTCCCTCCGTCCCCACCTCCTGACCACAGAAAATATCGACGAGTTCCAAATACGGTGGCAATATTGGACTCGTCAACGCCGAAATTATCCATCATGGATGGAATGGTGGTTGTCGTGCGCAAAGC